TAATTATGTATATAGAGCAGTCAGGATGGTATAGATGAGGATGGAAACGTCATATAAAGAAAGACAAAGTCAAGTCCAATTACATATTCATTTTATGATTCACTGGGTTTATGACTTAGCTGGTGTTTTAACTCAATGACCAAACGTTTACTTGTAACCAGAGGCTGTGTCTTACTATGAGTACCTGTTTTATAATCACTGTTAAAATATATCTAATAAGTGCAATTTGATTTGTAGGGGCCAACGACCAGAAGATCTTATTAAGCCTCAATTTTGCAATCCGGAAATTGCAGAACAATTGAGGAATTATACGATAAAAGAACAGTTAGAACAAGAGCCTGGTTGGCAGAAGGTAACGTCAATTTACACCTTTATTCAATTTGATATGTTTAAATAGTTAAAGACAATTTTATAACGAAGTACATAACATGTGAAAAGTGCATAAATTCACGTATGTGTGTGAGTGTGTGTTGTTTTGTTTTTTGTTTGTTTCGGGGTTTTTCATTTCGGAGGGGAAGGGGGCAGCATTTTCTATCCCTTGCAAATTGTCTGTCGTCGGTATAACGTAGTCTATCTTTCGTCATTTATCTTAAACTTTTTTGAAGATTTGTTCACCTAAACCAATAAACCAATGGACCAGTTGAAACAAATTTTCGTATATTTTGTTAAATCAAGCAAGCTTACTCCCACAGCTAAAAGTAAAAAGCTCGATGGCAATGATCGAACTCTGAATAGATTAAAACTCAAAGATGCGCACAATTTCATCTCATCCAACGGCCAAGAGACGTTTTCAGGTTAATGTTCGAAGAGAATCTGGTAGCCTTTCCAACTCTTTACTGTGCTGAGTGTTCTTGCGTTTGTTTGTACTGTATTCCTGTCACGTAGTGTTGTCATTTTAGCGATAATTGTTTAGCATTGCCATTAAAGCAGGAGGTTTTGCTAGCCATAAAACCAGGTTTAACCCACCATTTTTTCTTAAAATGTCCTGTACCAAGTCAGGAATATGGCAGTTGTTATCAAATAGTCCGTTTCTATGTATGTTGGCGGGGTTTTTTTTGTTGCACTTCAGTGTTTCTGTTGATCCGTTGTTTTCCTCTTATAGTTGATGTGTTTCCCTCGATTTTAGTTTATAACCCGGATTTGTTTTCTCTCAATCGATTTATGACTTTTGGACAGCGGTATACTACTATTGCCTTTATTTACCTGTTTTTCATGACATTGTTTGTCATGGTTAACATAAACCTTTCGACGAAAGTGATGCCGGTTAGTTTGTCATACTTTCTGAATTTACAAAAACAACAATCATTTTCTTCCTTCAATTGACCCCTTTCTAACGTCATAGAATTTTTTTCAGAAAGAACAAGATAAAAAAGAAGACAAGGATTTAAAGATTGTTCGAATATTGAACAGTGCATTACGAGGAGACATTCGTGTAATAAGGGCGTACGTTTTAATTCATTTGTTTGCTTTTACTTGGATAGAAATAAAAATAGGAATGAGGTAGACTGACCGCCGTTTTTCAACATACACAAAGTTTGGTATAAACTAAAAATATGGTGATACTATTATTTCTTTAAGGATTTATTCTATGTTCTAGACGCGTAAATTTTTTCTGGGTTTTTTTAGTTCACCTGACCTAAATGTCAAGTGGGCTTTTCTCTTCACTTGGCGTCCTTCGTCCGTCGTCGTCGTCGTTAACTTTTACAAAATTCTTCTCCTCTGACACTGCTGGCCCAAATTTAACCAAACTTTGCCACAATCATCATTGGGGTATCTTTTTTATAAAATGTGTCCGATGACCCCGCTTGTCAACCAAGATGGCTGACATGGCTAAAAATAGAACATAGGGGCAAAATGCAAGTTTTGTCTATTATTTCTTGCTCTTCCAATTGTCCATATACGTCGAAATATCAGACAACTTCTCATAGGAGTTATTTCCCTTAAATGACAAATTTTACCATTTTTGTTCATTTTTGCCTATAATCTTGAAAACTATAATAGATCGAGAGAAACTTTAACATGCAAAAATGATCAGCGTGACAAGTTCTACAAATAAGTCTGCATGGTTGAAATCGTCAGTCTACTTTTCATTAGAGTTATAGTCCTTTGATGACGATATTTACCAATTTTTAGCATATTTGCCTTATATCTTAAAAATTATAATAGATAGATAGAAACTTAAATAAGCAAACATGATCAGCCATACAAGATCTTTAATTAAGACATAATGGAGGAAATCGTTCAACTACTCCTAATTGGAATTATTGTCCTTTGATGACGATTTTTACCATTTGTTTGCTTTTTCCGTATATGTTAAAAATTATAATAGATGAATGGACATTTAAATTACAAAAATGATCAAGCAAGTTCTACTAACAAGTCAAAGTTTGCCGATAAAGTTAGTAGACTGTCACTCTTTGTAGGAGTGATTGCCCTTAAATTAGGATTTTTTTTTTACCCTCTTATGTGTTTTGAGCAAAACTTAAGAAAAAAAAGATCAACAAAACAGAGATTTTTGTCATGAATTCTGTTCTCGTCTACAATGTTGGAGAGTGTCCTTTGTTGATTATGCACATAGACCAAGGTAAGCGACACACATGCTCTTTAGAGCCTCTAATATAAATATAAAAACCATATTAATACAACGTAAGTTTGCATGATACTTGTAATGGGAACTATGTATATACAATTTACGGGACATTACTTTAGAACAGTAATTTTTGCAGTACTTGATGAAATAACACTTTATTATCTTGTGGTTCCGAGTGCTTTTCTGGATTTACCTTCATCGTGATAGCCTAAAACTGAAAACGTGAGGAGCTATATGACCAGAAGGGACATACACATTTAAATTTTAGAAAACTGCTATAAATACAAATCCTTCAAAAACAAAATTGATATTTTGTCAATTTTTTTCCATATTCCATCAAATGTGTAAGGTCTCCGTTTCATTCACGTTCACGAAAAGGGATCATACCACTTAAAACACATGTATATGCAGGTATATTAATTTTCTGTTATATATAAGAAACCAGGGTTTTAGATAGAAGTTGGGTATTTATTTAATGGATATCATTGTGTTACTCGGCAGTATAATATCAACATCTTTATCGTTATAATATTTGCAGTTATTTAATACCAATTTCATTCGGTTATAACAAGAGTATATTTGGAGCATTGGTTGATATTTTTCAAGTCTATGCTCGAAAACAACTCCTGTAATTGTTCTTTCGCCTCGATTTGGACAAACTGTGGATTTCTTGTCATTAATTCGATGTTTTTAACGACATGATACTTAATATGGTCCAAGGAAATATTGGACTTCTCAAATTCGTATGTATTGCGCTTCTTATAATTCAGACTGGATAAGAAAAGAGTATGTATTTACTCCTAATACTAAGTCGAGATAGCATTTTATTTGTCAACATCTTCAAAACCGAATGATGTGTCTTTTTAAACGCAATCTTGGCGTTATATTGTAAAATCCAGTGTAGGTTTGACATGTCTAACTTCATCTCATTCCTGATTCAAACGGGTACAGTGTTTTGAGTTCCCTATTTGTTACAACTCTACTTTCATAATTTGGTTAACGTGGTCGTGTTTTTTAAATGATGATAACGTCGGAAATGAGATAATTTGTGATCATTTGATTCGTTCATCGTTTATAAGATTACTTTAATCTTTGCTTAAAAAGACACTGCAATTTCTGATTGACATGACGTTGTTTTTTTTTTATCTGTCAACCGTGTGTAATACCGTTTTGACATTCTCGTTGTAATGCTGACATAAACTGATTTCACGTGACGCGTAGATATTCATAATATTTCAACTCTCTTTTCGAATGTACTTTTAAGGATTAAGATCATGGGTAGTAAGGTCGTCATATCGAGGAGCGTTTAGTTCAGTGATTTTGTCATAGTTTGGTTAGGTTGGTCATGGAATTGGTTAGGTTACTTCCCAGAACGATTGCCACAGTTCTTTTCAAATGAGCAAATAAAAAGCAAATTACATGTTTGAATCTATATTGTAAGTCAAACGATCTAAATTGAAATTGTTGTTTTTAAGAAATTAGCACAGGATGTCCAAAATATCGAAATTGGTATGGTCTGGTTAATCGATTAACGAGGTTCAGTTAAGAGTCTAGAAATTCGTCATGGTTTTGATCAAATTTGTCATGGTTTAGATCCAAATTAATACATAATTTGTTTCACCTAATATTGATAGTTAGTTTGAAGGCGCTTGGGAAAAACACGAAGTTACTCAATTTACCAATTGACTATGGAGGAAAAAAAGCCTTTTTGACCAAATTTGCTGGGCGTAAACGGCAAACTGTACCTTTATATATTTTTGTCCCCCGAGTAACATGTTGTAGGGGACATAGAAATACCAGGCGTCGGTCTGTCCGTCCGTCTGTGCGTTCGTCCGTCCGGTCTCAAATGTACAATTCTTGCCAGATTTTTATGAAACATATATCATAGGTTTATATCAGCAATGCCTTGGACGAGTTCGAAAATCAGTGCCGATCAATTATTTTTAAAAGAGTTATGCTCCTTGGAAACATTCATTTTATGGAAAATAGTATCGTTAGCGCTCTCATATGTTCAATTTCTTGCCAGAATTTTATGAAACTTATATCATAGGTTTATATTAGCAATGTCTTTGACACTTTCGAAATAAATTCTGATCAAATATTGTTAATAAGTTATGCCCCTTGGAAATATAAATTATAATGGAAATTACATTGCATTTGCTTTGAAGCCTTCATTTCTCTAAAGATATTTATCATTGTTTTAAGAACAAAAAAAAGGTGCTTTTTTTTTAGTTATAGCCCTTTTACCTTGGATAGATAAAATATGTGCATCGTTGGGGACATTAGAACTCTGTTCTTTTATTACTTTTGGTGTGTTCCTACGATATAATTTATATAGCCACTGCTCTTTTTAACTGGCATTCGATATAATAAATTACAAAAACAGAAAGCATTGCTTCTGTTTTACCTAGACTCTTTTCTCCATATGTCCATGATGAACTCTGCCGGGGATAATTATCGTGAGAGGATTCACTAGTCAAATGATTAAAGACGTCTATTTAGAGTTAATCATGTTAATAATCTTTGTTTTAACATTTTTTTCTAGGAAACTATAAATCTATTGTTTTAATTTGAACCAGATTATGTCTATGATGAATACAAAGGACCAATCGATATATAGTTACTATACAGTCTTCAAACCTCCACGGAACAAAATATTAACATGGACAACAGTTTAAACTTATTTCTTAAATAACCTATTAGTGAAATTAATATGAAAGTTACTTTCAAAGTGTCGAGTTCAAATATATGAAAGATCACAATTTCGAATTAGAAATAGGTCCATAATGTCCACTTTAATTTACGAATGAATAAAAATGATTGTTTTTGTCATATTGTATAAGTGTATTGTGTAGTATGACTTAACCCGTTTAAGCATTATTTTTTTTTTTCTTTTCTGCAATAAAGTTCCGATAATATCAGAAAAGGCTCTGTCGGTCTAGTATTTATAATATGAGAAAATGTACATTATTATATGTGATCGAAAAAATAATTGAAAAATTCCAAGATACACGCGTTATTGTGTTTAGTACAAGAAGTACTGTGTACGGACTTATTTTTGACCCGACTAGACGAGAAATTACAGAGAGTAAGATGAATATTCGCAGCAGAATTCCATTCTGAAATAAAAAAAAAAAAAAAATTTGTCTTGGATTCATGATTTTTTTATTAGTTGTTATTGGCTTGGAAAATAGTCACATATCGGTTCTTTGTGTCTTTGATTTTTTTGTGACTTGATTATTTTGCTTTGTATCGATCTGATGAGTCAATTCCTTTTCAACTAATTTTTATAGTTTGTTGTGCTGTTACACTACTGCCCATATTAAGGCAAGGGATGGTTGGGAGCCCGCAAACATTTAAACCACGCCATATTCTGCATGTTCCTGTCTTAAGTCCAGAGTCTGTAATGCATTGACTGTCGTTTGTTACTGTATATCATATTTGTTTTTCGCTTATTGTTTTGGACATATATCAGGCCGTTGGTTTTCTAATTTGAATTGCTTTACCTTTAATTTTGTTGGAGCCTTTAATTGCTTGCTAAGAGGTATGCGTTTTGTTAATTGTTGAAGGCCGTACAGCAACCTAACATTTACGTCATTTGGTCTCGGGTGGATAGTTGTCTCATTGGAAATCATACTGCATTTACTAATTGTATATTACTATGTGCTTTCTTATGTCCTTTTGTATTCCGAATAAAACTACTTTTAAATAAAAATTGCTATTGAAATGCATTTAATTTCAATACCCTCGTGATCTCTTTATACATGCGTGTTGTATAATTATGATAGCTATAATGATAATATCTTAAATTTACTGTAGACGACTTATTTTCTCGAGCGATGTATTTTTGCGAGTAGAAGATCAACGTTAATATGTGAAACACAGATCTACTCGTATGGGAACAAAACAACACCATAAGGAAATGACGACAATATGTTGTCTCAAAATAGGATAGAATTGGTTAAACAGGAAAAAAAAGGATCAGCCAAAATATTTTTAACAGTATTTTAATAGTTGTACACAATGCCTGTTTATTTTTATCGTTATACTTTTATCATCCACGACAGGAATCACAGAACTGACCCATGTCGAACATGAACTAAACCATGACACTACTGAACCAAACCATGACACCGAATTTTCAGTAATCTTAAATTGTGTGCAAATGTAGCTTTTTTTCGGAATCATTGACGGCAGGTTTATGTCAAAACGAAATACGTGATGTAACAGACAGTAAAGAAATCACTTTTCTTTATGCATAAGAAACGAACAACAACTTTTAAATTTTGACATACGCAAGCATTATTCTTTGTCAAATTATAACTATATGATAAAATAATGTAATATACTAACATATAAGCCATAAACAAAGATACTTACCAGCTTGCATTATGTTCAGAGGTTCCTTTAGCAAAAAATTCCGAATGTTTATATTATGTCATTGTTTGTCATCAAAAACACTACACACAATCATGTCCAACTCAACCAAACTATGACAAAATCACTGTACTAATTCTTCTCGATATGACGACCTTACTACCCGGGAAGATACAATGTATCTAAACAAACAGTTTTAAACGCGCTAGCGTGTTGCTATCAATGAACTTTACATTAAGCAGTGAACTCATTTCATAACTCAGTCGTAGTTTGAGAGGCCAACACAATTCAATCACAATATGAATAGAAATAGTATACAATAAAAATTCGTTATATGCAAATTGATACAGATTGAATAAACAATTGTCATTTAAGTGACCATCCAATGACCTGTCTCACAAAGCACGTGCAATTTACACCCACAGGTGTACGCGTGGTAATCAAGGCTGATCCGTCAGTGTAATGTAGTGACATCGATGATAGATTAATCAAATTTCAATGCATTTAGATAGTGATGATATCTTTAAGATAAATACAGCTAGCTTATTCAAAAGCGAAATATTACAGTGCGATAATAAATCACACATTTTATAATTTGATGGAAAATTAATATAAAGTACGGCGGTATCAATTTGGAACGAATGTATACAACTAAAGGAAGATTACAAATGAATAAATAATGGAATTCGTCTCCAATTAAGCGATTTTGGCATACAGCGCAGAATCTCTCATCGCGTGGTATGATACACCACCTTCCGGTTTCGATAGGCAGTTTCAAGTTACAGGTACGTACTTAACAGACTTAATTTCGACTTGAGCTTGATAGTTTTAACAGATATTGCTCTAACCGGAATTCCGATTACATACAGGAATAAAATTGTCTCTTAGGTGAATTATCAATATCGATAATACATTCTGTAGAAACTGGTCACGCAGCCGTTGTTGAAGACGCACTTTAACGAATAAGGGATTTTATTAATTCAGTTTGATCCAGTATGTATTAAAGCCAGATTCATCTTACATTGCACATAATTATGTTCGGACAATTCACGTATCAATTTGTAAAGCATGTTTGATAATTGATTCGCTCACTGCTGAAGTCTACACCAGGAAGAAATTATATTTGTTTTTATTTGACAATCTAGAGGCATCCGCCAAAGCTCACCGTAAATCATATAACCTGGAGTGCTGGTTCTTACATGCATGACATGTAACACTCTTTTACAAAACTGGAAATGTGATTTTTCAATAACACTAAGTCTTGTATATTAATGTATCAAATAACTTTATTTGTAGATCTACAGGTATATGTACATGTATGCTTCTAATTTTTGTATACAACAAATGTTAAGCTTCCTGTGCTTGATCTTTTCTTATGAAGAAATGAAAAGGGTGTTGATGGCAGATCTTTGATTGTTTCTGTTAACTATATATCCACTATTATACACTATATTGAAAGCATCCTTTCGTAAATTTTACGGACGTCATCACGAGTTGGTTGGCCGTTATGGAATATCCGTTTCACAGATGATGGCGGATATGTTCCAAATGTCGTACTACAATCCTATCCCCCTTTTCACGAATGTGACTAACCGAATTAAACTTATAACCGGGTTTGTACTAACATGAGCAACACGACGGATGCCACATGTGAAGCAGGATCTGCTTACCGTTCCGGAGCACCTGAGATCACCCCCAGTTTTATTCGTGTTGCTCAGTCTTTAGTTTGTTTTCTATGTTGTGTTTTACATCTAGAATAAGTCACAAATCGGTGTTACACATCTTACGCAGAAACTGCTCCAACAGGGTTATGAGGAGGAAAGATTAAAAATGACACTCCGTACATTTTATGGACACCATCACGAATTGGTTGATCTATACGATGTGTCTGTGTTAAAACTAACTAATGACATTTTTACCACGTCTTGGATTGTGGTTTAACATCTATGTCGCCTGTCTGTACCGATAATGACCTATTCCCGAATATGACTGTTTTACGGAGTGTGAATTTACATTGCTATGTTTGACATGTCTCGGTATTTTGTACATCCAACATTCATGTGTTTATTTTTGGTGTTTCTGTTGTGGTTTCGGTTGTATGATGTGTTATGTCTTATCGTTTGTAGTCCAAATAATTATAAAATAGCCTTTTAATATCGTCATTGTTATGATATTTTGGACTGGTATTGTGAAAATAATTGTATATAGTTCAAGATTACATATTCGTTACATAAGTGCGTCACTGTTTGTGCTGTCTGTCGTTGATGGAAGATGTTTGTTGTTGTGTCGGCTATTATATTATTTGTATGTGCGTTTCTCTGTGAGGAGTGTTCTTGCGTGTGTTTGTGTTGTATATCTGTCATGTAGTGTTGTCATTTTAGCGATATTTTTTAACATTGTCATATAAGCGGGAGGTTTAGCTAGCCAAAAACCAGGTTCAACCCACCATTTTTTCTTAAAATGTCCTGTACCAAGTCAGGAATATGGCAGTTGTTATCAAATAGTTCGTTTCTATGTATGTTGGCGTTTGTTTTTGTTGCACTTCAGTGTTCCTGTTGTTCCTTTGTTTTCCTCTTATAGTTGATGTGTTTCCCTCGGTTTTAGTGTGTAACCCGGATTTGTTTTCACTCAATTGATTTATGACTTTTGAACAGCGGTATACTACTGTTGCCTTTATTTACATGCATTTGTGTATTAGCAGAATTTGATTCGAAATAATTTCGATTTTTTATTATAAATGATCTTTTATGTTAGTTGTTTAATAGAATCATGGTGTAATCAGAAAATAATATACTTATCTCCAAATTTGATCCAATTATTGCAGAATCAGTTTTTGGAATATATTTTTTGAGTAGAATTTTAACTACGTTTACTGACACGAATTTTAGAAATTGTGTATTTTACAAACTACTCTCCATCTATATAACTTAATGATCTTGAAGCTTTATCACATGCATGCGGTTTCTAACGACAATTTTAGCGATTAAACAATTTCAGCGTCCAACGACCAATTTTGTGAGTTTCACGTTTAAGCTCTGTTGAGTATAATTTCACGTGAACTTTCTCACTTTTTATTTCACGTGAGAATCATTTAAAATTAACGTGAGCAAAATTGGCCTGTTTAGCGAACTTATTTTCATGCTCTGTTAAAACATCATATGCATATTAATCTTGTATCATGTTTTGATAGTTACAACGCAGCAGGCTACGATATGACTGTTTCAGATTATGACAAAAGAACAGCACTGCATATAGCAGTGAATAATAACCAAGAACATATTGTGGAGTATTTACTGAAAGAGTGTGGTCTGTCAGAGGAAGATAAAAAAGCTAAGGACAGGTACACGTTCGGTTTCACAATTCATTTTTTAAAGAAGTTGTCGAACATATATTTTTAAATATAGTTGATTAGCAAAATAACATTGACACTGCTATTGTCCTCCGTCAAATATTTTGAATAAATATTCATTGATTTTGAAAAATGTTTATTTTCTCATACATGTCAAACTGAATGTTGAAATATTCTCCAGTCACATCATAACTTTGATTTTCTAGAACATTTTTATTTAAACCATTTTCAAGGTAACCTGCACTATTAGACAAGCTTTGATTTTGCAATTTGGACTTTCAGTTTTGAATTTCGGTATTTTTTGTTATTTTACTTTTTAGTATATTGCAAACTACGTCACTATTAATAAATTGTTGATCTTGAATTGTATGTTTATATATTGATCCTAAACTACATTTATCTGATATATTCAATATGTTTCATTATACGACAACTACGTTTGATCTAATATTCAAATTGTGCTCATTAGCTAAGAGATGAACTATACCAAAGGGGTTCCCAAACTCACAAGTCAAAGACAAACTGTTAACGCCATGGCAAAGAACGAAAATCGAACAGAAAACAAACAACATTCTACAAAAAAAAAGCACATAAAAAAACTTAGCAATACAAACCAAACTAAAACGGAGATGACAGAGTTACTCTCCAAAAAATACGTTTTTTTTTGTTATATCATGTGTATAGGCATCACACAATAACGTATTGGTAATAAGCTCAAATAAAACCATTAGACATCTCTTAGCACGTAAAAAGTAAATTAAAAATAGAACTGAACTACGAGGAAAATTCTAAACGAAAATCATCTGTCATATAAATTTCCTTACCCTGAAACTTGAACGAGTGTGAATTTTGAAATAGAAAACCGTTTTTTATGACAAAGAATGGACCGGTATAAACAACATTGTTAAATTAAAAACAACACAAATAACACCAAATAACACTTAAGCAAGAGCAACACAAACTCCTAGTGATAAAAACAAGGGTGCATTATTGATGTTCATTAAGGGTAAGCAGATCCTGCTCAAACATGTGTTGCTCTTGCAAGAACAAATTCGTTGATTTGTCTAATTCGGTAATGTTAAAAATTCTGCATTCTGTTTGCGATAATTAGAACATATCCGTCGTCATTTGTGAAACAGATATTTCATAACGGTATACGTACACCAATTCGGGATGGCGTCTGTTAAACTTTCCAAGTGATGATTTCAACTTCACCACTTCACAAAACCTTCCTTAAAAAGTTCCCGCCTCATTTTTTACGTGGCTGTCTCAAGTTAGGAGTTGGTTTGCTGTTTTACCACCATCCCAGGTTAGGAGAAGGTTGAGTATTCCCAACGTGTTTAGGCCTGCAACAGTTTGTATGTGCTTGTAATTCAGTGATCGTCGTTTTTTTCTGTATATCATATTTATTTTGTGTACATAAATCAGGCCGTTAGTTTTTTTTTTTGTTTGAATTGTTTTATATTTTGTCATGTAAGAACTTTTTTATCTTGCTATGCAGTATGGAGTTTGCTCATTGTTGAAGGCCTTATGGTGACCCTTATTTGCAAAGATCTACTCAACTCGGTGTTTGGTGGATAGTTGTCTTATTGGATATATTTCCTCATTATATAGGAACCTACCAGTTGTTTTTTTTTTATGCCACGATTGATTTTAGAATCTGACGAAGATGTCATATCGCTGATGATTTTGTTTAATTCATTTGCATCGTTTGTAGACTTGTGACGTTATAGGGTTTGGTTTATCATTAAACCTCTTGGTTTTGTCTGTAATTTGCATGTTGTCCTTTAGACTGATGTGGTATTTTTTGTCTTATTGACATTCACCCCACATTCCCTTTTTTTCATAATCATAAAAAACATAAATCTATAAATTGCTGAATTTTTTTATTAGATTCTAGTACAATGTAAACATGTTATATTAAAAGTAACTTTCCAGACTATTAAACGAGCATATTGAAATCAAAACGTTAGAAAAGGAGACATAACATGTATCTTTTGATTCTGTTAATAAATCTTATTGACTTTTATTACAACATTTTTCATTACTACCATCGTTATGAAACCTTCAAAAAGTGTCAAAAAATTCACCTTTATGAACGTAATAAAATTTCTGCAAGTCCGTTACACAGTGCACATGTATACCACACCGTTTGCTATGTGCTATAACCGTATTATGTCTGACCATACACAATTTTGGTCACCTTTTTAGTGTCTTGGATTTGAAATAAGAGAGCCGAAAGACACCATAGGATCATTCAAACTCATAAGTCTAAAATAAACTGACAACGCCATGGATAAAAAAGAAAAAGACAAACTAACAAACAATAGTACACAAAACACAACATAGAAAACTAAAGACTGAGCAACACGAACCCAAACAAAAATTTTGGGTAATCTCAAGTGCCCTGGAAGGGTAAGCAAATCCTGCTCCACATATGGCACTCGTAGTGTTGCTCATTTGAGGCGTGAACAGGTCTTATTGTGATTTCCCATGAGATTGTATTTTTTCACTACATAGTACAATATATTCATAATTAAAATATATTCTCCTACACGCAAAGAAATTTAAGTTACATTGCGAACGCTAGCTATTGGTCAATGGCGAGTATACAACCGATATAATTCATTATAGTTCAATTCATCTAATTTGGTCAATATTTTAGATGGAAAAAAACACCGTTAGAGGCAGCCAAGGAGGGTGAAAACGAAATTATACTCAAAATGTTTAATTGTCCGGTAAGAAATAATAAAGATAATTTGTGTCAAAATTTAGAAAAAAAGAACAGGATAATCATTTGCTTTAATTTTTAGTTTTTGAGAAAAATTATGAAAAAAAGTTATTCAGTAACACCATTAGTATCCAACAAAAAGTCTGACCTGAAAAAGAAAAAAAAAAGGTCTTACTGATCAGACTGAATGTCTTATTGTGAGGTGAACAAGTCTAACTGTTTTACAAGTACAGAATAAAATTGAGAGTGGAAATGGGGAATATGTCAAAGAGACAACAACTCGACCAAAGATCAGACAACAGCCGAAGGCCATCAATGGGTCTTCAATGCATCGAGAAAATCCCGCAACCTACTGTCTATATACCAATGAACTAATGTCAAGACATAGTTTGATATCTTACAATGACATAACAATACACAGTTCAATAATTAAAAATCATCATACCACTTGAATGTAAAGGGCCCATTCTAGACAAATATAGAAATATTTTTGGTAGATGATTCAGTTTATTAAATAAAAAAAAAGTCTCTAATTATTTATGATCTTTTCTAAAAAACAAATTATGGTTTTTAATTAATATGTTGTTAGAATTATAAGCATTTAAAAAAAAAGAATTAATTGCAAAGATATTCATTTACAGAGTTTACCAAACACAGTTAATGACGAAAAAAAAGAATTTCGCTTATTAATTGCTGGTGAAGACGATGACGTAGAAACACTTAAAAGGTAAAACAATATACCTCTGTTACCTTTCATTTTTATACCTACACCAACCCCTTTGCATCCAAGGTTTTAATCATAGTGAATACTACAGAACTTTAACCTCAAAGATGAAATTTTGAAACCTTCTGAATATTCTTTTTGAAGCTATGAGTTTTCAGTATGGCTAGAAAATGTAAATATATCGGGCGTTGATTTTTGGGATCAAAAGTGCATGTTGAATGATGTATCGACATGTTTTAAAGCAATTGCTTTCGTGCTATGGCGTATGGCCATCTTCGTGATCCAGATCAGAGTCTCTGCCCAGATCAAGCCAATTTTTTTTAGCAGATTCATGGTCTGTCATTTTTTAACACCTATGTATGTTTTCTAATGCAATACATTTATTGAAACTGTTAAAAACACTAGTGGATTGAGAAGTTTCAACATATGTTCTTGTAGATGTAATTTTGTATTTTAGGGGACAACCGTTTGAATTTCAAAGAACATAGAAGTCCGAGTGAAAAAAGTGCATTTTTATATCTGCGATTTCGTTCTTGAGATGTTTCAACAAAATATTGAATCATTTCAGTTGTTGATTTAAAAATGAAAATTTGACTGAATTATCTCTTATACTGTTTTATGTTGTTTAATTCGTGTTTCTTTTTGAAAGAGATCAAGTTGCTCTTGTTCATTCTTAAATTATCATTCATTCATAAAATTATCGTAAAAAAACTACAAACGTTATGTAATAATAAGTTCGTTTTCCTTTTTTGTCATAATTCCGTAACATTTATCGATCATCTTATAGATGAAATGGACCCGTCCAAACGTGAAAGACGAAAAGTTAAGAGTAAGAGATATTCACAAACAATTTGGAAATTCAGTTTCATAGATTGAAAAAAAAGTTCGTCCATTGGATATCAAAAACGGGAATGCATTACAAAGGATCTGGTAAAGTCGACGTGTTTGCTATTTTATTTCACATGTTTTCGAGCTTGAAGATCATTATTCACCATGTTTCCTGAAAGTTGAAAAATATTAATGCAACGTGGAGTTGTTTTTTCGTGAAATGACGATTTAATTTCATGTTTGTCCGTGATAACCCCCTTTTTGAAATTATATGACGATGGCACATATTAGCTGAGCAATAATGTTTGGGACTTAGATTTAAGAAATTATGGAAAAGTAGCAGTATAAAAATATTGTTAATAAGCTGAAATATATATACATTTTTTACATGTTTATGTCTTGTAAGATATTTTTTTCTTTTTTTATCCGACCGACCGGACTCTTTCATGGGAAAAAATCCGTGAACCAACAAATTAAAAAAAAACTCTGGCCTTAGTGATGACATTGGTAAAGTGTAAGCCAGTTCGCAGGTTAATCGACAATTAAAGTGCATATCATGAAAATTTCAGAAGCTGGTCTCATCTTCAAAATATGTAATCTTATGTATGAATGAATTTTTTATGAAAAAAACTACAGTTCGGTAGAACATTCGCGTCACGAAAGTTGAAATATTCAACTGAATGGCTAAATTTAAACCAATTATGATATAATTAAAATTAAAGGAATAAAGATAATGAATCCTGGAAATTATTGCCCAGTTATAAACACTCTGCCAGGTTTATATGTTTCCGCAGATATATTTGCCTCCACCGTTAGCCAGGTAAACGTGTCGTCCCCTGGGAAATGTAAAACATGATAAATGACTTTCTGCTGGATAATTCTTTTATTGATATAAAATTAAAACATCCTTACTTCTAACTAGACAAAACTTCTGTCAAGTTTAATTCTTATACATGTGAATGAAAAATAAAAGTCCGATAACATTAACTTGGTAGCAATTGCTTTTACAGCATTTAAGGCTTTGATTTTGAATTGATATGAATTTAAGTTAAGTTTTTATATTTTTTATTTGACTAATAATTCTCTTCACCTTTGTATTTAATTTTATTTCTAACTGTTTTGATTCGAGCGCCACTGACCAGTCTTATGTAGACGAAACTTTTTTTAACAACTTTAAGCCTGGTATCTTTGATGAGATTATACAATCACTTGGTCGATGAATCTTAGTATCTTTGATGTCATATTCTGAAACTAATATCAACGTTTATATCAACTCATTGTTGAACTTTTACTGACTTACGAACCTTTAAAAATATAAGAAAAGAACAGAAAAGGTACTTCCATAGACGTTTATTATGTTTATCTCCTATGGTGGACGATTATAAATATGATTGAAATGATAAAATAGAAACCGTTCTTAACCTAATATAAACAAATAACAGTTGCATCTAAAACGGACCGTTCAGGTGTAACACCACCAATATTCGGGAACGGTCGGAAAGCATACCAGAAAGTAGTACATATTCAACACAAAATAGTTCAGATGGAATTAATAATTATTTATTGATAACTACACATTTTGTTTTAAGCTTTACATTGACACCGTTTGCGGTATAATAATATGGTCATTCTTTTGTCTGATTCAAATCGACTGTTAAACCCTTGTTAAATTTGGGTGTGCTTATGACTGTGCAATGCGTATAACATTTGCAGCCTCGTTCGGTCATAAAGGTCATTAAAGAAAGCTATTTTTGGAATTAATATTGATTATCACATAAGGTCTTTGCATCGGAAATGAACACATGTATTCTAACCCATATGTTGGCATGATACGGGTTATGTTCTTCTCTTATAGTTTATGATGGTATGATACTAAACTCCTAACGGGAGGGATTGTGCTTGATTTTATATGATGGAGACATAATCTTTCAATCAGTTTAATTGAGAGCTGGCATGCCAGAAACTGCTACAATGTAGTAGTCCTTTGTTAATTTATGTTTCATTGTAATTTTGCTTAGTTTCTTCTGTTACCTATTTTGACATCGGACTCGGACTTCTTTTGAACTGAGTTTTACTGTGCGTATTGCTGTGTGTTTGTTTATTCTACATCGGCTGGAGGTTTAGGGGAGGGTGGAGATCACACAAAACATGTTTAACCCCACCGCATGTTTGCGCCTGTCCCAAGTCAGAAGCCTCTGGCCCTTGTTAGTCTTGAGTTTTTTTGTTTAATGTTGGTTAATTTATATGTTTTGGAGTTTAGTGTGACGTCCATTTTTGCTGAACTAGTACACATTTTTGTTTAGGGGCCAGCTGAAGCCCGCCTCCGAGTGCGGGAATTTCTCGCTGTGTTGAAGACCCATTGGTGGTTTTGGACTGTTTTCTGCTCTTTGGTCGGGTTGTTGTCTTTTTTGCACATTCACCATTTCCGTTCTCAATTTTATAATGGGATCGAGTAATCTACTATTTTTGTAGAGAGAATGCCACGCTCACTGCACGTTTACAACAACCTTTTGTGGCAAGTCTAAATATCTGTCCCTATCCAATGTACCATCATTTTCCAGTGACGTTCCAGAATTTTCGAACCATCATCCCAGTCGCGCCCTAATTGCAGGACCTACCATGCATTTTTGTTAATTTTTTCCCGTTCTTAACATTCATCAAATATTTTCCACTAGATGAAAAAAAATTGCAATCAATTTATGGCTATTTGATTCATTCAATTTATTAAAATATTTCTTATTAATTTTATTATCTTTATTTATTCATTTTTTAATTATATTTAATTTTTTTTTTTCTATTTTTTTTATACAAAGTTACTTAGTATTGATCATTTTGTAAATTGTTACCAATACTTTTATAGTTTTTTTTCAATTTATTAAAATATTTCTTATTAATCTTATTATCTTTATTTATTCATTTTTTAATTATAATTAATTTTTTTTTTTTTTTTTTTTTTTTTTTTTATACAAAGTTACTTAGAATTGATCATTTTGTAAATTGTTACCAATACTTTTATAGTTTTTTTAATTTATTTAGTCTGATGAACAACAGTAGTTGTTAATATCAGAGAGTGCCAAACTTTACATATTGATACTAAACCACATATGTTTCATTACATAAGCTTGTATAATAGGTAAACTCGGCTATAAAAATACTATCAGAGAACATTGTTTGTCATTATATGATTCAAATATTTGGCCATTAATAAACACTCATTTTTTAAGGATTCATGTATTGTTTGGTCTTAGGTTAATGTCCAGTAGAAAATAGTTCATGAATGTTCAGGACGAGAGCAAATGACAATAAATACAACAGGTAGGCCCTGTTATAGAGGTCGTGTAAGATGAAGGTCGGAGAATTTATACTGCCACTAGAAAATGTTGGTATATTGGATAGGGACGGAAATTGTGCCTTGCAACAGTCAACCTACGGACGGACCCCTCCAAGAGTTGTTGCAAGGGTTTTTCACGTACAGACAGCGTGGCATTTTCTCTACACGAGTTATCCTTATATGATATATATGTTAGCGGCAAAATAAGTGAAATTAGGCATTAAGCTTAAATCCTAGGCAATAAGCTAACGTCTAGGCTGTAAGCCTATTACCAAAATAATGTTAGGCATTTACTCTCAAATCCTAGGATTTAATCTTAAATCATGAAAATTATGTCCAGGCATTAATGTTTATGCCTAAAATGAAAGCGAGAGGAACTAACAAGAAATTTATTCAAAGTTAAAATACATTTTGTACATAATAAAATAATAAAAACTGAAGTTTGAATGTCAATTACATGATATAAAATATTAATGTTAAAACTCATGGAATTAACATCTTAAAATATATGTAGACTTGTTGGATAGTTTTATCATTGGCAATCGTACTACATCTCCTAATTTTTATAGAAAATTGTACTGAAATTTATTTGTTACTAATCGTTGCGGAGCTATGGCACAGACTATTTCACAGTCTTAATTTTTTCTAGCATTTGTACCTGGTGATCGTCCAATACATTTGTGTAGAGCATGCTGTAAGCATGTCATGAGTATATCCGTTTGACCACTCAATACTACCCGTGATTGGAGATGTATTGGCTTCCCGTGAACAATAACTAGTTCTTTCACATTAGCATTAATTAAGATATACTGTTAGCTGTAAATTCGCGACCTTTGTCATTTTGCTGTTTATGTGGCACACCAAATATTGTAAAAACATAAACTAAATTAGAAGCCACCTTTGTCATTTGCAGCACTTTTTGACGTATGAGCTCTAGTAATATATTTTTTTGTAGGTGATCTTGTTACACCATAATGTTAATACAGTTTCACTCTTACTTTGATTGAAATCAATTAAATCAACCAGTCCTTTTCTGTAAAACTCTTTGGATAAACGGTTTTTACTACTACTCCCTTCCCTATGCACATTTCATCATGTTACAATTTTCACAAAATGGAAGAAATAGTACAATGGAATCATGGAAAACGTTTGCAATGCCATTATTCGGTTCTTAATCCTACGATCTATAACAATAATAGGCCGCTTTGTCATATTTCTTAATGTGCTTTTCCCAAAATACCATACAGTTCATTTACAAAAACGTAATTTAAAAATTTCCTTCATCATTCTTTTTTACTTTAGTGAACAAAATAATGTTCATAACTATCTACGTTTATTTGTTGTACTATTTGAACAGGTTATATGAAAATGGAGGGAGTATTTCCAGTGGAAACACAGTTTGGAACGTAGCTGCATATGAATTGAATAATGATGCCATAAAATATTTGACAAACAAAAGCAAAGGGAACAAGAATAAGCACAAAGGTGCGATTATAACCTGTAAAAAAGAAAATATCCTAAGGCAGACCAAGTAGTAAAATTGAATATGTAACAGATATCTATTTATTGTTATTCTTATTTGTATAGGGTACATCAGTATCGAAGATATGTATATATTAACACAAGGGTAACCTTGTGGTATAGCACTTGATATGACATTTTTCGGCTAATGGTTAGTCTGGTGTTGTTGACGAAGTTGGAGATTCACGATGTTTATTACTGCAGCATCTAATAGAATGGAGAGTTGTTTATTGAACTTAAAATGGAGAGTATCCGAGTCGCAACTTGATGCAGAAAGGGAATTAAGTATATTTTAAATGACGAACTTACTGCAAAAACGTTTTTCAACTGTATATTGTACTCGACACGACTGTAATTTTGCAAACAGTCTTCTTCATACGATGTTGTATGATCTTTTCTGATGAAGTTGTTAAACTCTATTAAATATTATAAGTCAAATAGTATTAAATTGACATGATTTGATTAAACAAATGTACATTCCAAAGACGCATATCGTTTCTCAATAGACGAATGTCATCTGAAAAAGAGACATTTACCTCAAAGACAACATACAAGTCCTAGGTGCCTGGCTGCCGAGACAGTAATTGGAAGACCATCTTCGCTAGGAAAGAGTTACGATCCAGTCCTTTCCTCTCCACCCTTGGCAGACATTTGTGATAACAATGTTGCGCCATCTATCGGTTGATAAAAGTCACGCCCATTCCGAATACATTACTAGTATTCTTGATAAATGGTAATGCTTGACCCACTTTAATGTGGAGGTGTAAAAATGGTAGTGTCTAGTGTTTACAAACTTCGTGAATCAGGAACCGAAAACATACGTTGACATTCCAACATTTGCGCAAGAAACACACCCAGAAACATCTAATAGTTAACACTTAAATTGTCACGAAATATCGTCGTATGTTTTGGGGTATTAAAAGACTTGTTGCACAATCAGCACGTGGCAATTGTTTATTTACATTTTCTACATTTACACGTCATCATGTTAAATGCGCTTTTTGATTGGATGCAGCCAGTTACGACTGCGACCAATGGAAATCATAAATTCGTTGATCAAAAATTCTCTTTAAATCCGCCAAGGGCGGACTGGATTGTAACCGTTCGCTTGTGAAGATGTTGGAAGACTGGAATGATGTTAAAAGAGGACTTTGATTTTTTAAGACAATTTATGTCGAATATTGTTATGGTACACAGGAAAAATTGAAACATATGTTTTTCATATGCTTTCAAAAGAAATGAAAAACATATGATTTTCAAATGTTTTCGATATGCTTGGGACAAACAAAAGAGAAACATATGTTTACGATTATCTTTTAATATGTTTTTATGAATAAATATGAAAGCAAACAAACATATCATTTTCTGACGTTTTTCGTGTTTTTGATACATGTAAACATATGAAAAAAATAAAGAATGTATCCATGGGACACAGACGATGCATACAACGTTATGAAGTAAAAGTAAAATCGAACTCCGAGGAATATTTAAAACGGAAAGTCCCTAACCAAATGGCAAAATCAAAAGTTCAAACACATCAAACGAATGGATAACAAATGTGATATTCCTGGCTTGGTACAGGCATCTTCTTATGTAGAAAATGGTGAATTAAACCTTGTTTTATAGCTAGCTAACCCTCTCATTGTATGACAGTCGCATAAAACATGTACCTTTCCACTATCTTTGGACAGTGGTGTTGCAGCACAAAATAAGAACAAACTGTAAAAATCTGTTACAAATGGCTTTACTCAATAGATCGGTACCAACTACGCAGTCAGTAATAAATTCGGTTTGTGACCTATTTATAAAGGACGCTTAACGTACTATGGTAACGGCATGTATGATGTCAACTTTACTCTGATTGGACAACATTACGGAATTGAACATAAACCAAAAAAGAAAGATATATGCTACAATACAAGGAAAACATTACGGACATAAAATCAGACTTGAAAATGAAATAATTCAGGTAATTAAAAATAAATTCAGGTAAAGAAGGTGTCATTATCACCACTGTCAAATTGTTTGCATTTTTAGGATTAACCTTTAATACACGAGTAGGTAAATATCACTGGCAGGTTCATCACATCTAACACGTTTATGATTAGACTATAATAGCTCGAGTGCTACAAATATATCTTATCTTTTTTAGTCTTAAACTTCCAAGCGTAATAATTATTTCAAATTGTACAAAAGAGGGACGAAAGATACCAGAGGGACAGTCAAACTCATAGATCGAGAACAAACTGACAACGCCATGGCCAAAAAATAAAAAGACAAACAGACAAATAATAGTACAGATGACACAACATAGAAAACTAAAGACTAAGCAACACGAACCCCACCAAAAACTGAGTGTGATCTCAGGTGCTCCGGAAGGGTAAGCAGATCCTGCTCCACATGTGTACAAAAAATTATACATGAAATAAATAAATTTAAAAATGAATATATCGCAAATTTAATTACTTGTCAAAAGCTGCACTATATAGATCATATTTCTTTGGCGTCCGTCCGTCCCCGATATACACACCAAAATAGGTTGTGTCTCTAATTGTTTAAATGATCTTACATTGTGCTTGACATATAATTTCTTCGTGGTTCTAATCTGTTTCATGTTTGTTATTCATTACAGATTGTAACCTTCTAATATCTTATGTTAATGTCTATTTCACAGCTATAGGTACATTGTACCTCTTTGTCTCTGAAGAATACCTATATTTACATTTAGTTAAATACTATGCAGTATATATTTTAATTCTTTAGGGAAAAGAGCATATACTCATCTTTCAGAATAGTCTCCCTTTTGCCGTCATATTGTGTGCATTTTATTTAAATATGATAAAAAAAAACTGATAAACATTCGTGGTTTGTTCTTGTTAAAAACTCTATGTTCACATCTGTATGCGTCAGATATCTTTTTTAAAAGATAGTACTAAGTCTTGTTTAACATACATCCTAAATGTTTTGCTATTTGTCTTGATGAGAATTTATTTTATCGTTAGAATGAATGGAAAACAAGAAAAATTTTCAAATGCTACTACTGTGATGAGGAGTATGATTAAGTGTATGCTATACTTGGCCACACAGCAATAAAACACCATGATAACTTCATTTCTTTCCATCAGTCAGTAGTGCTATAAAAAAGGAAAAAAATACGGATGCCTATCTAGATATTACAATTACGGCTTGATGGGGCCTAGGCCTTCTTAGTAAAATATTTGTGGTATATTGCATTTTACTGAATTTATAACTTCTGTCCCTTTGTTTTCTTAACCCTATTTTAAAACGCCAGGTTTCGCCACTGTAATATATATAAATCATAAACTATTATTTACTGTAAACAAAATTGTTGCATCAAATGATATCGAAAAAGGAGTCCCCTGTTATCGGTTCTAAAGACAGTTATGCAAAGAATCCAGTAATTTCTAATATATCTTAACTCTGCAGGGTTATGGTTAAATGTTTTCAGAACAGAAAATTATCATTAAATTGAAAAGGGTTAGATATGATAAATATATAAAAATATGTTGTATGATTGCCAATGAGGTAACTCTCCACAAGAGACCAAATGACACAGAAATTAAAAACTATAGGTCACCGTATGGCCTTCAACAATGAGCGAAGCCCATACTGCATAGTTTTCTATAAAAGGCTCCGAAATGATAAATGTAAAACAATCCAAACGAGAAAATTAACGGCCTAAGTTATGTACAAAATAATGAACGAAATACAAATATGTAAGACAGCAACCAACGACAACTACTGAATTACATGCTCCTGACTTGGGGCAGACACATACAGAATCGAATGTGGCGGGGTTAAACATGTTAGCGGGATCCCAACCCTCCCCTAACCTGGGACAGTGGTGTAACAGTACCATATAAGAACGAACTATAAAATCAGTTGAAAAAGGTTTCTCATCAGATGGATACAAATAGAAATACATCTTACAAAAACACAGAGTGGACGTGGCTGGGTACTTGTGCATCCCAACAACAAAAAGACACAAAGCATAGATCTGAGAATGCTCGCAGTTACTGACTGCTAGTTGGAAGCCAATAAAATCTAATAAAATAAATCATGCATCTGAGTCTAAATCATCAATCAGTACACATCCAACATTCAATGGATTTAGTGTAAAGACGTCATAAACAGTCAGAAAAAAAACATGGCCTTGTGCAATGCCAAGATATCGAGTAATATGTTTTGTTTCGTAGGAATATATGATATTGCCCTTCACTAAACTACAGTTACAAACTAGAAAAAGTTAGTTTTTACGCCCAAGAATGCCTTTTTTTTATTCCCATTTTCTTTGAAAAACCCGGACCATTTGTTTAAAAGCCTATACGCTTGAAATTTAGCTCTCAAAATAACACGGACGATGTAAAACACTACATTATTAGCTATATATGTATAGGGAACTTCAATGAAATTGTGCGTCGTTTGTGCTCAACACATGTCAGTATTCCTAATAAGAGGAACAGTCATGAATAAAACTATTATATACCCGAAATAGCAGTAAATTGATTTGATGGCAGGTAATATCACTCGAAAAAAACCTGACCTACACCAGAAAAAGTGGACCAATTCACTCGAAAAAAACACGATCTCCGCCGGACACTACACCTACCGTGATACCTATACTTATAGAATACGAAAGGAAAAATCTCCGTCCATCACATTATAACATAAGCTCAAATATATATCGCTAAGTTTCAGTCTCCATTGAGCACAAACAGGATTTCCACGTTAAAAAGAATGTGTAAATGTATTAGACTATTAAATGAAAAAAATATGTTCCCTTGGTTAATGCACATTTAAACAAGTATTTTTTTTATCTTTTCATTTTCTCAGTCTCTC